AAATACATATTCGGTAGTGCGGGGGCCGCAGTCACTATAACATAATAACAACATGCACCGGAGAAGAATCTCGGGGGTGGGGGGAAAGGGGAGCCGCTCTCGCACGGGCCACCAACGGCAGGGCAATACTACTATTTACTACTACTTTACGGAATACTATTGTTGTAATCATCCCCCTCGCGACGACGACCATAACCGGGTTGCAGCGTCACCGTCGACGTCCCACGCGCAAAATACTCCTCCTCTTCGTCGCCCACGCGTATTATATTATTCGCTTACCCCTTTCCCTGTGCCACGAGCGGTCCTGTAATACGTACGTACTCTCACACGAGCGCGCGCGCACGTACGGTAGGCGGCGGCGCGGGCACGTGATTGTCCGGCCGCCGGCCCATCCTGTACGCAGCATCCACCCCCACAAAGTGTACCGAACGCGTGCCCCATTGTAAACGGTTCGCACATGCATTATAATTAGACGGGACGAAAAAAAAAATAATAATGCAAAACACAGAGACCACCCACACATGAATACGCACTACCTATATGTGTGTGTGTGTGTGTGTGTATACTCTGTCGGCGTATTTTTTTTTTCTAATGCCCATCGTCCACCCGCACGATTTTGCCTATACTATTTTTTTTTTTTTTTTTAGCACGTTCCCTTTTCGCGTGCCATCACCCCCACCGCGAGTGGAGCTGACGGTAAAAATCGGTTGCGGCAGACACGCTTTTATGCCATAGTCGCCGCCATTACGTTGCTATCGATTAGCGTGTGTAATAATAACTATGTATATATAAGTGTATATATTATAATACCTGAACGGGCCCTTCAGGATCCCCCTTCCCGACAATTCATTCCGACAACCCATCACGCGTGTATGTGACGCTTGTTTTCGTAGGCATTGGCCGCTGCGACGATATTTTTTTTATTCGTCGTTTTATTTATTTTTATACTACGACTCGTAAAATCATATTTTTATTACGTGCTACAGAACACATACTATTTGGCCCTCGGCACATTTCTGCACAACTACCGCCGCGATTCCCATCATCCCGCGTATACATATATTATAGAGTAATAAACGGACGCAAAAATTGGCTCGGACCCATCACGCGGTTGTCCCGTTTCGCATGATGAGGACCGGCGGAATCGACTAAAACACGACTACGAATACAGCGTTCGTCTATAAAACCGCCGTAATCGTCATATAGTCGGAAATCGCTCGGATACAGACGATTGAAACGCGAACATGCGTGTGCCTTTATAATTTACATAAAATAATAATTTTATGAGAATCCCAACAAGTGTACACATATTACCTATTCGCTAGTCGTATTATTGTAAAGCTCAAAAAATACAACTGAATCGAAATTACGATTATTTGGCGCCAGTCGAGCTTATATACTGTTATGACAGATTCTAAAAATGTCAACATCTAACATGAAATATTGATTAATGATTTAAATGCAAATTACTCATGGATATGTTTTCCGTAGGAAAATGTTTGGAACTTCTCAATTGACAAAAAATAAGGTGGTTATAACCAAATAATATTGTATTTCCGTTAATTTATACTGCTATATTGCTGCTATTGGAAATTAATCAAATACAAATAATAACACTAAAACAGAATTTAAAAAATAATAAGTATTATTAAAAAATAAATAATTGTTAGTAGATAGGTAATTAATTTATATTATAAATGCATTTTACGTTATCGATCTGGACAAGATTAAATAATTAAAATTTAAAATGTATGTATATCTTTGATTGCTTATATTTATGTATTATACAACATTTTAAGTTACTATATATACTTTATGAGACGAGGAAAAAATATGTTAATATAACAAAATCGCCAGAAAAATAAACAATTTTTATTTAATGTCTCGAAGTCAGAATAATATTTACTCAATTTCATAATGCCATAAATACTTTGTTTTATTATTATTTTATTCCCTACCCTTTATACAATTACAATTTTATATTTAAAACAAAATATAACAAAATAAATAAATATTTAATGTTTTTTATTTTTTATTGTTATTAAGCGAGAACATCAAAGGAATGTAATTCGAAGAAATATTGACACATATATAATTACGTTATTTAATTAAAATTCACAAAAATATTTATTTAATATAAATTATAATTTTGAAATATACTAAACTTCCTAACCGGATACATTTGTTTTAACTAGAAGTGCAAAGTATTAATTTTAGATATTTTTAACAATTTTCTTGTATACTCTTACAAGAAGTGCTGAATGAAATTAAAAAGCTAATGACTAATAAATACTTTGCCTTATTATAGTAATTTCAAATAAAAATGATGGACTAAAATTACAATAATAAAATCCTCGTGCATAATTTTATTAGAAGAATTTAAGAGACTTCAAACGGTAATTTTCTATACGTTTAATACACTTATTTTTGAAATATAATTTTAAATGCTGAGAGATAAAATCAAGAATTATAAAAAATAAATCTAAAATAAACTACGATGAATTCGAAGTTTTGAAAATTATATTTTAAAAAACTAATTAGATCAGTAAATACTCAATCGAATAAAAATACTTTCAAATTTCAATATTGCGTTGAATAAATAAAATTAACAAATCAGGGTTTCAAATAATTTATAGACTTTTTAGCTTCATTTTACTTTTAATACTTAGTAACGACGAATAAGTTAATTGTATTATAACTAATAATAATAATATAATGAAATTATACATACTTAAAACATTATAATCGATCATTAGAATAAGAACCCTCATAAATAATTATAATTAATTAATAATATTAACTGATTAGAAATATTTTTATTGATAACTATACAATACTGATTTTAAGAAATAATAATCGTTACAAATTCAATAATATTCTTTATAAATTAATAGATTAAAATACATTGATTTACATTATGATAATAGGATGTAATTAGTTTAAAAATGTTATCAACACGTAAAACAGGAATATTTATAAATTATAAACTTTCATGTAATTAAGGTTAATAAAAATAACGAATTCGTAAAAAATTGATACTTTTGCGTAATTTTGGGACACGACCAGGGCCGGCCCAAGCGAAAATAGTGCATTAGGCGAAATCAAATTCAGCCGCCTCTATAAAGAAAAATTGAGCTCTTATTTTAACTTATCCCCTCTCCCTATTTTTCATTTGTGACATATCTACATAAAAAAAATTTCAATTTTTTATTTTATGTATAAAATTATATGTAAAAAGGCATAAAAATTATTACTCAAAACCCATTACTATCACAACTATTGGAAATCGTGGAAGTGATTATGTGGTTGTTTATATTTTTGGAATAATTGAAAACGCCCAGCGTAGCTCATAATATATAATAACTTAAGACAATATTATTTTAATACATAGGTAAGTGGTTTTCACGAATAAATTAATTTAAATATTTTTCTTATAAAACATTAAATAGGCACTGTTACCGAGATGACTGTATTTAGATGATATCGTTGGAATTTAAATACATTTTTTTAGAGGTGATTGAATTGAAAGCGCGGACACGCGATCACTACACGATTATATCGTTCGCAAAACAAGCGCGTAAAAATTGGGGACCATGACGAAGGGCGAAGAGGTTATATTCGTTTTTCCGTAAAAGACTTGAAACAGACCATAAATGTCACGAAAGTGGTCGGGCGAAGACTATGTAATTTGAACTACCTGTACGCTGTCATCTATATTCAAACGGACGCGCGACAACGTCTACGCCGCGTTCTCCAGTTACCTGCTAGGATCGACTCGAAACTTATGTAATCCGTTCACAAATAACATAAGAATTATACTTATTCAACACCCGTGTAACATAAATGGTAAGCGTATAGGTAAGCGTAGGCCAAATGCATTCGTACGTGGACGGGGTTATAAAACGCGTAAAAACGAATTAAGTACAGCTGCTGCAACGGCATTCCACGTCGCGTTATATATCCGTGCGCGCACGTTCGTAATATACACATTGCGTCAATTACGGTCGCGTTTCGAAAACAACTTCCGGTCGTTGACCACCACCGAAACGCCGGGCGACGCGTGTATACGCCAAACGCGCATGACGACTGCTTCGGCTACCGGGGGCCGGGAAACAGGTTGTTTAACTATATTCCCGTGATAAATATTGGAGATTTGCGCGCGACCGACACGTTGCTGGTAAACGTCACCAGCAGCACCCGACGATTGCAGTTATGATTCACTACGAGTAAGGTTTATTTTTTTTTAATACTCCGGATACAAAAAAATATCGAACAACCTTTTTTGTTCGGGTAACAACTGGTCGTCTTGGCATATTCTGAACGTGTATACGTTGTATAGCGAATGGTTTACAATATAGAACGAACACGTGTCGACGCACACGTTTAGAGTAATTATACGGTACAAACGCGTTTTCTTCACACCTGTCGGACGAAAATTACGGAAGAAACGAATGTATACAGGGGCAGCGACGAATCGCCTCGTCCGTCTTCGCTGTTCTCGTGCTGAATATTTTTTTCCCTTCGCAACCCCAATGTTATCGGATTATTCTTAACGTAAAAACGGCATGCTGCCGCCATGTTACGTGGGGTGAGACTCGTGAATGCCGTAGACTAGCCCCTTGCCGAAAAAAAGCAGGAGAGCATTCATTTGTCCATCACGAGCCACGCACACGCGGCGGTATATTATATTATGTACATGACGATGACGATTCCCCTCGAAGACCACCGCGGCTGCCATTGGCCCCGCGCGAGCGCGTCACGCGTGATAACCACGGCGGTGTTGGCGCGGCAGTTATTCGATAACCTAACCTCAACAATAAAAGCCCAACAGAATCACTTGGAACTTATCTAGTTGTCAGCAACCCGTAGATATTGGTTAAAATACACGGAGATTTTTAGGCCTCAAACAAGAGGACGCGACTTTCAAGCGCGGGACAACACGATTAAAATGTAACGTTATAATAAACTTCCTTCATCAATTCGCATAAAATCGTAATTATTATCAACAATTAATTTTACCTCTGGACGGCAGCTTGTCTCTGTTGGAATTGAGAACTCTGTTGACCGTATGCATAACCGTTGAAATCTTGAGTGTTACCCTGATTGGCCTGCTGCTGACTCTGGTCCATGTCGTTCGGAGTCATAACTACCCGACGATATGTTGAACTAAACACACACACATATGTACACACACATTATTATAAAATAGAACAGCACCAACAATCGTAGTAATATATCATCACGCGAACAAAAACACACACACAAACACACGGATCACTTCCGTGGAGTAAATCTACCGGTCCGGGAAAAAACGGAGAAAAATTTCGAGTGGAAACGATTTTTATACGACGCCGGGTATAAGTATAAGCATAAACTTGTTGGCGTTTCGCCGGTATCCTACCACATGTGACTAACGGTTTTACTGCGCGCGTATCCGCCGCCAAGTATCGTAATATCGATCTTATTCGAACGTTGTGGCGGCGGCGGCAGCGGCGGCGACGACGACGACGACGAATATAAACGCCCGTCCCGCCTACCCCTCGCCACGCCGACACGATACACGCGTACGACAACTCGGCGGCGCGCGTTTGCCCTTCTCCACCGACGACGGCGTGTCCTCTGCACGCACGCACACACGAGGAATGTGCGGCGGTGGCCACGGCTCTCCTCTCTAGCCGGGTAACGTGTACGTGTGTGTGTGTGTGCCTTGTGCGCTCGCAAGTGCATTATAATAATAATATTATTATTATTATTATTACACGAAACAATCGGGAGCATGCAAGTGCAGCAGCAGTAGTAATAACAACGACAATGTACAAGAAGAATATTCATTGTATAAGTATTAGTAGGCACAAAGTATATTATGTTATGGTGCACGAGCGCACACGGAACCGGCGCGTAGTAAAAGAAGCGGCGTTTTATTCATTATAATTTTTCCACGACGTGACCTGCGAGCGAAGCGCACTCGCGTGGGGTGTGCAGCCGATGGAAATGCTCCGACGGACATCGCAAGCCACGTGTGGGAAATGTGATTTGTCGCGTGCGTACGCGTCGGGAAGTGGACGGAAAATCTTGTAACGAGCCAAGGGATTGTCACGCGGGACAGTAGCGACAAAGAATTTTCATCATATATATTAATAAAACACTCGTAATGAAAAAACATTTTTTCCTTATACAGACTAGAGAATGGATCATGTGATAACGACACGACAAATTCACTTATAAACAATATTTAAGTCGATAGACGACGAGTAAGTACAGTAGATGTCGGCCACTGTTGGGTACGAACGCGCTTAGAACGCGGTATAATAAACGTTTTCGAAATATACCAAAACTTTATACTCCGTTGACGTTGTCAATCGGTAGCGATGGCGAGAATTGAACATAATTAATTTCTTTTAGATAAAATGAGAGAAAAAAACTACGTACTGTTGGCCGAGCACAAGTTTCACGCTATTAGGTGATGTCTTACGTATTCGCAAGCGCACAATTGATGACGACGACGAACCAGGAGCGGATTAAAAGTATTCAACGAATTATCCTTCTTCGAAGTAAATATTATTCCTGCTACGGCGTCAACGACGTTATATTAGATTTAACTGAATAACACGCGACGACGATCACACACTTCTTCACAAGACAATAGTAATAATAATTATTTTAAATATCGAGCACTTCAAACAAAAATATTATTTGGAAACGCGATCGAGTTAATACTTCATTAATACTAATTAGTAGAACATATTATATTTATTACTACGACGATTGTTGTTGTTTTTGTTGTTATATTACCGTTATACCAGATTCACGGATTTAAAACAAACAAAACTGAAAAACAACAGCTGACAAAACTTACTACGATCACGATGATATAAATTTGTTAAGAAAAATTATATTTCTATTAAAATATATTACTAAATTAATGTACGTTTTTGAAATTGATGTGTCGAATTTTTGGTCGGAGCGCACGGCGCAAATACAACGATACGGACGGACGGGTCGCGGTAGACAGAGAGAGGGAGAGAAAAAAAATACTTAAAACTCGTCCGACCGACCAACTATATATATATATAAAACGCAGTGTGGCCAACTACGGCGGTGTATAGTCGGCCGCTGCTGTCGTCGTCGCCGTCGAATGGTGTTCCAAACCTAAAACGTGTTTTTTTCCTCTCTTCCTTCCTTAATAGTTTTTTTCTTTATATTTTATTTATTTTTTACTTCGGAACTCACGCCATTCATTATCGGCGTACACTTTGAACGGGATAACGTCGAACCATTTCGGGCACACCGCATAAGCCACGATAGTGGCGTGGGGGATCCTAGTCGTAATATACAAATACCCATACGTATAATGTGAGATATATAATATAATTAATAATGATTATTAATTTATAGTCTGTGCTGATGTGTACACATTTCATGGCACAATATTTCCCAATTTGTCCGTTCGATTAATACTACGATAGTAGATGGAATAAGCTCTTATAGGTTTAAAAAAAACTCCAGCAAGAATATAATGTGTACAGATAAAGTCGAAACTTCGTAAATACAGGTATACTTGGATACAGACTAACGTAATATTATGGATATCAATGATTATACGTGAACCCGTCCGTCTAGACATTTGATGTCATATTATTTTACGCAGCGCAAAAAAAAAAAAAAAAATGCAGTAAAGTTATGCAACTATCTATTAAACAGTGTTTTTTTTTGTCCGTGACATTTCTTTGACCTTCTGCGCGCGTGGTTTGTTGTGTTTATATTTCACGATACTGTTTTCTAGTAAAAACATTGATGACGACAGTCAACGCTTTCCCTCTAAAGATTTCTCTTAGCAAATGCAAATTTTTATAACTATTTTACCACGATAACAGCATATAGAGGATACATATATTAGATAGACTAGGCGATGTATACGTGTAGTATTGGACATTAGTCTATGTAAAAACATGCATTTTCATATAAAAATAATAACTATAACATTTAAGATATTAGCACAAGAACCGACACAAAGGTCCTAAATATACAGTAACGTTGGTATATTTATAAATCTGAAAGTAACATGATTTTCTTCAAAGTAAATATTCCATGAAGAGTCAATGGAATAGACCCAAACCACTGGGATTTACCTGCAGAGCACTATAAAAAAAAAAAAGAAGACGTTATACAGGTCACATGGTGCATAAAAAGAGGCGATTTTATATATTTTATATAGATCTATATGGAATGTGATATGTTCCTCCAACACAATGAATACTATGTGTATGAGATAAAAGTGTATACACATCCGAGTATATATATAATACACGAACAATATACATCTACACTGTCATACCAGTGCGGCAGTGGTATATTGTGAGCAATATATTTCGTGTATTTTGCAGGTCAGGATTTTCAAACTACCTGCAATAGTAGTAACAACAAAACAGGCCAAAGGACCTTACATACGAATTTTTTTTTCATGAATAGCAGAATCTAGTCCGGATATCACATCAAACGTAGCCATATTTATAATTTATCACAATGATTATTGTTAAATATAAATATGTTGTTGAATACAGAGGAAGTGGGTATAAATGCATGTATACAGATAATGGATAAATTTGTTATTTAAATGCTGTAAATTACGATAAATGGGTCGTTAAGTAACAAATTGATAGCACTTAGGTATGTGTGAGTACGTGACCTTGTTTAGTGAACACATAATGAAAAAAGAGCATTTAAATGACGGATAATTAATAAATTGTACTTACGTTAAGAGTCTTAAATATTGTATTATAAACACTAAACATTTTAAATTATAATAAGACAAATAAATATTTAGAAACGGTGTTCTATGCTTAAACTTTTTCAATAGGATAAAAATAACATCTGTTTCCGGAAGCAAAATTGCAATGGGATCTCATTCTTAAAAGAACATATACAAGACTACAAGCAGAGAGTAAATGCAAAATAATACCAGTTATTAACAATTTATCGGACGTTAATTATTATATACCAATTCAAACCTAGAAAATTAATATTCTAAATATATTAAATTGTATAATTAAATATTATATACTTATACACACGAATATTATTAACGGTGCACCATACACCATAATGTATGTAAACGTGTGTAATATCAACGTAACAGTGGATGCAACTTAAGCAGATTTATTTAATCGATAAAATTAATAAGTTATCATTTAAATTGTTAGATTTTACCATTTTGGTTTTATTTGATATTATTTTTAATGTTTAATGTTTTTAAAATTATATTCATGATTATAGCTTTATATTAAAGATCTAAGGATACAAATTAAAATATTAAATTTTGACAAAACATATTAATTCGAAATTATAAACCAAAAATCTTAAAATATAATGTGTAAATAATTTTAGAAATATGAAAATGATCAACAAGAACTTTTTAGATATTTGACCCAACAAAAGAAATCTATGTGGGTATTATACAATTAATTAACTAATAAATAAGCGCTATATGTAATGGCTATTTCCATAATACCCGATCATGTATATCAACAAAAATCGTCAATGTTGATGATATATTATCATTTATCATGTACCGATATATCAAAAACTAATACCTTCACATTTTGTAAATAGTTTGTTTTTAATAAAAATTTAACTTTTTGTAGTTTTGTAAAAACTAAACTTCAATAAAATACCGTCCTAAAATAAAATGAAAAAATATTCGTGGTATGCTAGAATATATGATAATTTAATTGGGGTACTCAAACATCCCACATCCCCACGTCCAAGTCAAATACTGCATGCAAATGTAAGAGAGAAAGAAATAGTATGAATGTGTGATTGCTTTAAATACGTGAAGAATAGTAACAACAAAATATAAAAATAGCTTCTATATATATTAAATTGAAATTAAAAAATAAATTATAATTTCAAATCGTTTATCAAATGCACGCGCGCGTTGTATGCACCCTGCTCGTATCAACCCTCATTGAATATATTCCATAGAGTATGTATGTATACATATATATTCAAAACATTCGTTATTCAACCCATCCGACGGATATGCTTAGGGAATATATATATATAACACACAAACGCGAAAAAATGCTATATAATATAATGCGACTGGTAATGAAATCCGTTCCCATTCGCCATTTTGAGTGCGTATTTTAATTTTTTTTTATACGGGCACTGCACATTTCCACAGTGCGTACATTGTGTACGTGCTACATATAAAAATGGCGAATCTCAAATTAATTGTTATTAAAATCGGTAAGCAAGCCACTTAAGCGTTAAACAATATTATATTTATTGATAGTATTCATTCAAATAATTTTTCAATAATTATATTCAAACATTTTTGTTTCTTATTTTTGAATATCTATTTCAGTTTAACATCACAATAAGAATATTAAAACAAATTAATTTATACGTGGGAGCACAAGCCATTGATTATAATTAAAAGCGTGATTAGCGATCACGCAACTTCAAGCGCATGCATGTAATTATTGATATGATAATTTTTAATCGGTGTTATTCATTATACCCGTAAGATAAGTAAATGCACATCTTACAATTTAAGATCATATATTGCAAATACTGTATATAAATCATATAGTTTTATAGAATTTTTCAAATCTAATAGGTTTCCATAAATTTAAAGTAATAGTTTTAAGTCCAAAGAAAAAAATTGTAGCATTATATATATATAAATATATTTTATTTATTTATTAAATTAAAAATATCAGAAAGACATGAATGGAAAGATATGAATTATAATTGGTATGTAATCAAAAATGATAATATTTTTAAACTTACTCAAAAGTCAATAATAATTTACAAAAAAATATTAATTTGATTGCTTATTATTATTTATTTTATAAACTTTTAGACTTACAAATTGCAATTAATTATTACATTATTAAACCCATCAACTAATAATATATTAAATCATTTAGAACAAGTTAATAAATGAAAAAAGTTTAATAACTAGTCTTGAAAAAGTTTTGGCTAGTGCAATAATACAAGATACATTAAAATCATATACGTAAACGAATTTTTATAACTTTAGGTTAAAGAAAAGTAATAAATTATATTATAAATATAATTAAATAATTATAAACATTTTCGCATTAAACGATTGTTTATACATAAGGAGATGTACTGATAATGAAGATATACTTTTTGTATTTGAGTACACAATTAAGTTTATATAGATTTTCGTATTAGTAATTGCATGAGTACAAAAATTAGTACATGATCTTAATGATCTACTAAATTGAAACTAATATAAATTAGTTTAAAAAATAAACAGTATTGTAGTATAATAAACATTGTGTATACAATTTTTAGAGAATTTTAGTGACTTATGAGTCACGATTTTCAGTTAAAAGCCATTAAAAGATTTACCAATTATTTTTAATGCTAATACCAAAAATAATAAAAAATAAATAAGTTTAATAATTGTTTTTTATTTTTGTGAGACTGGAAAATGTTACTACCCACATAGAAAAATAAGTTAATACTACCAAGGGAAAAACGTTATCATATAAATTTGTTATATTAGAATTGTGCGTCAATTTCTGCAGACTGTGTAGATAATAAAATTTGGAAGGGCACGCATAATATGTTATAGTAAATAATACGAGTAATAACAAATGCAATAATAATGCATTGCGCTCAGGACGATAATAAATTATATTTATTTACTAGTATCTGTGTTTTGAAACTGCACGAAAATATATTATAATATAAAGGACGCCCATACAAGAATACATTATTATTATAAT